TTAAATGGGATAGATTTAGGACAGGAGGTAACCTTGTCATTTCTGTTCGGTAGGCTTTTTGAAGCATGCAAGCTGCAGATCTCATAGACCAGATAAGTAGTGTTACTGGAGTCACAGCCAATGTTGCATCACTACTGCTGCCTCTGACTGTTTCATGGACCAAGATCAGTCCTGGTTGATGCAAGTTTTATTCTCAAAGAAGAATGATCTATTTGGTTCTCAAGAGAAATGTCATCCCCAGGATAAACATAAGTTGTGAATATAGGGAGATTAATGTTCTCAAGAGACTTTTGCTCTATGATTATTGTGCTATCATATCTGAATGACATTTATAGCTTAGAAAAGAATGTGATCACTTATTTTCTCTGGAAAAAGAAATGTTAGATATGAGAGATAAAATAGTTTTTAAACTATTGCTTCACTATTGCCTTTCACAGTTAAATCTTTGATCCATGCAGAATTGATCTTTTTTGATAATACAATTTGTCAGAAGGCATGGTGCACTTGCTGGAGAAAGTCAGAGTGAGAGAAGGAGAGGGAGAAAGCATTTAACTCCTGACGGGTCATGGTCACATGTACTTCCATCTCCTCCATTTCTCTACCCTGTTGGGATTGGAGACATACAAAAATTTTTATCTAACTATTTTTAATCATCTGGGCAATCTTTTGGAAAACAAATCTGTATCTTGATTAGTTCATAAAAGAGATAATACATGAAAACAGCCAGCCCATAATTATTACTTATAGGAAAATTTGCTTGTTTATTCATTCATTCATTCATATGTATCTGGTTTGTTGATTAAATAAGATGTGTAAGATGTAATCTAAGAGCAACTTTGCCTTAGGTCTGCTATCTAAAAGTTATTCAGTGAAGTTAATATATTCCTTGCCTCTGGATGAAATCTATGACTTTTCTGATTATTCTCAGATTAAAAAAGAAGTACAATGAAAAAGAAGTCTCTTTCATTTGCCAAATACACTCAATTCACAATTTGTAATGTTCACCTTTTTTTTTTTTTGGAGAGGTTTTTGCTATAGGGCGTGTGCGCGCGCCAGACAGAGAGACAGACAGAGAGACAGAAAGTGAGAAATCACTCCCCAGGGGGGATGGCCGCGCCACAATCCTTTCTCCTCCATTCTCCTCTCGGGATCTTGGGCACACGCGCACACGTGCCCGGCATGAGTTTTAAGCCACCGGGTCCGGGGACATGAACCGCGGTCGACTACGTGGGAGTCCAGCGACATAGCCATTACGCTAACTGCTGGTCTCTAGAATGTTCACCTTAACATAATGACAAAATGTTGAAATTTGATATCAAACTAATAAGTATCTTTTCCTTTTCTCTTTTTCCTACTTCAGCCTGCTGTCTTATATCCTCCACCTTCTTATTGTGGTTGTTGATTCCTCCAGTGATCCCTGTATGGTAGAATGGGAAGGGGGAATGAGGAATAGGGGAGATAAGAAAGTCATTGCCGACTGGTTCTCTAGCAAGACAGTATCATGTTCTCTGGGCTCTTTCTTGGGCTCTTTCTGGCCTCTCAAGAGCTGAATTATGTCTTCCCAAAATTCATGTAGTAAATTCCTAAATTCCTAACCCCTAGTATCTTAGAATGTGATTGTAGTTAGAGACAGGGCCTTAAAGAGGTGATTAAAGTAAAACTTAGTCATATGGTTTCACCTTAGTCCAGTATGACTGGTGTTCTTATAAGAAGAAGAGATTAGGACATGGACATCCACAGAAGAAGACAGGAAATGTGAAAATAGAGGGAGAAGATATCTATCTCCAACCCCAGAGGAGAGGCCTTGGAATGAAACCCTTCCCTGCTGACACCTTGATCTTGGACTTTCAGCCTCTAGGACTGGAGGAAAGTAAATTTCTGTTCTTTATGCTGTCTAATTTGTGACACCTTATTATGGCCGTCCTAGCAAACCCATAGCAGGGCCTTTGGAGATCGTTCTCCTCTTTGTTCTCTACTCCTGGACCACCACTGGAGTCCTTTCTCCTGAAGTTCCCTTGAGGGAGGTGATGTCCTTTGCCTTTGGTTTGTTCCTTTCCCATCAGTGAATCAGCTTCCCTCTGTCCTCCTCAGCCTTCTAATTACCATATTACACGGCATCTAAGACAACTTTTACCTTATGCCGTGAGTCGTCCCCCTCGGGTCCATAGGATATACCTGTTGACGCACAAATACACCAGCATTCTGACTGATCACAGCACAGCAGCAGCCTCTCCTTCATTCCCATCCCTGAAGCTAGGCCACTCCTCTGCCATCTCTATACACTCTGACCTTTTTCCACTGTGGATCTGAGTAAGATATTTAAGAACCTTATTTATTTATTTTAAAAATTTTATTATCATTATTCTTCAATTTTGACCAGAAAGAGACAAAGAAAAAGGGACAATGAGAAAGCAAGCCACCAGGTCCAGAACTTGATTAGCCACTTGTGGGTCCTGCGCCTCAACCATCCTGCCACCTGCCACCCCCTCAAGAACCTTATCCATTTCCAGTTAGATCCTTTAAAAATTTGTCTCATGTAGGGAACCAGCAGTTAGCGTAATGGCTATGTCGCTGGACTCCCACGTAGTTGACCGCAGTTTGCGTCCCAGACCCGGTGGCTTAAAACTCATGCCGGGCACGTGTGCGTGCGTGCCCAAGATCCCAAGAGGAGAATGGAGGAGAAGGGATTGCGGCATGACCATCCCCCCTGGGGGTGATTTCTCGCTTTTTGTCTCTGTCTCTCTCTGTCTGTCTGGCGAGTGCACGCGCCCTATAGCGAAAACCTCTCCCCCCCAAAAAAATTTGTCTCATGTACAACAGTGAAATGACTGTCTTATATTTGATCTTCTTTTGAAAAAAAAATTATTTAATTTTATTATTGTTATGATTTAATTTGCTATGGGACACAGGAGAGAAAGGGAAAGTGGGAAAGCAAGCTGCTATGTCCAGGACTTGAACCACAGTCAACCATGTAGGAGTTCAGCCCCTCAACCACCATGCCACCTGCTGGCCCCTGTATCTTCGACCTTCTAATCAAAAGCTTAGTTCTCATTTATTCCTTTGTCATTTATTCCTTCAACCATGTAGAGCCTTCATTCTGTGTTGACTGAAGAGAGACTTACTGAGGTCAGAAGGGAAAACTTGGCTCTGTCTAGGGGTGACTTTTTCATTATAGAGGAGCTCCCTAACTAGAAGGGATAACCGCTCCTGTGAAATAATCAAGGAGGCATGTTGTCCCACAGCTCTCTCCAGAGTCAGGCTGATAACATCTTCATCTGAAGAGCCCGCCCCCAGGGTTGTTTCTGATGCTCCTTGTTCTCCACTGCTCCCTTGGCGTGTGGTTGGGGAAACATTGTGTGAGAGACTTGCAGTGAGAGGCAAGGGACAGCAGGAAGGAAAAAGGTGCCACTTATTTAAGCTTCATAGGACAAGTGAGCTGTTGTTTTTTGTTTTGTATTGTTTTTACTAATTAGTTTATTTCTCCACAGAGAGAGAGAGAACACCCACAACAGGTTTTCATGCTGTAATCCACGGCCAGCCTTGGCCAGCCTTGGCCAGCCTGGATCACAAGCATGCTTGGACAGGGCTTTTTCTGAATCGGGAGAGGCCCAGCTCGTGGGAGAGATGGATGGATTGGTTTTTCCTCTTCAGCATGCCCAAATCCTGTGTTTCCTTTAAGGCCTATTAAAACTCTGCCCAGATTATAAAGACTTCTCTCACTTTTTCCAATCCACAAATATTTCTGAACTGTTTAGTACCTAATTAAATTGGGTCTTCTGGAAAGTCCTGACTCATTTTTGCAGGAAAAACATAGAAAAATACATCATGACTTTCCTGAAGACCCGATAAAAGGTTTGTTTGTTTATTTATTTTATGATAAACCATGTACACAACATGAAAGAGAGAGAGAGAGATAGGGAGGTTGGGAAGAGAGAAAAGCATCCTCCCAGGGCCTGGTCATGCCATTACCTCCTTCCTCCATCCCATCAGCTCACCAGGATCCCAGACACACACATATGCTCTCCAGCATGTTTTAGGTCATTTGGGCCAGGGATTTCAACTGCAGTTGGCATGTGGCTTCCAGCTCTGATGTCTGCTACACAACCAACTGTACCACAGGTGGTGGGCCAGATTTTTTTTTAAAATTTCATTTTCTATTTGTACCTTTAGTCAGTTTCAAATCCTCCACAGTGCCTGCTCTTAGTTCTCATCACCTGAATGTCTGGGTGTGTCACTCAATCCAGGTCTGTGTAGATAATTAAATGAGTGAGGGGGAGCAGTACCCACAGGGCTCCGCTTCCCATTGTATAGTTTATTTCAGAAGCAGCAACATAATTCTCACAAGCATAGCCCCCAAGGGGCAGAACTTCTTTCACTGAGAGGTGCCAGGAAGTGTGAGGTGCTGTGTTGTTAGCGATGTTTTTATTGAGAAGGGTGGTCTGGGGGTACTTTTCATAGAATGTGCTTATTTTGCCAGATTGAGAGAATTGAATGTTTATACAGTTTTTGGTTAAACTTCCATCTTTGTTGCAGAGGGAGTGCTGTCTGAGAAAACAGTCAAGCACAAGAGAGACGAGAGAGATGCTGACAGGGAGAGAAGTGTTTTGTTTTTGTGTGTGTGTTTGTTCAATACATTTTTTTCCCACTGGTGTGGATTTTCTGTCTGGTCTTCTTTTTAACTTGAAAGAAAAAGTTGTGAAGTTGGTTTGGGGGAGTGCTTTAGTGTTCTGTTGTTGCAGAGAATTCCCTAGAAGTATTCCCATATTCCATGGTGGAAGGATTAGCTAGAGGACATTGATATTTGCTCTAAATCTGAGGTGAGTCAAAGAAAATTATTTTAAACCACTGCCTTGGATCCTGAAGTGTGGTTTCTTGGATGCTAAGTACTCTTGCAGAACAGGAGGTGTGTGCTTGCATTATTGTAGCCACCCTCTGCGTCTGTGACATCACACTATTCCTTAGTGACCGTGGGCAACCAGTAATTGCTCGGACTAGAGTGTGGGGGAATCTCCTCTCACTACCACTACCCCGACCCCCTATACTACAAAAGATTTGAACATGGATTCTGCTCAGAAATACTGATCATATCTACATGTTCAATGTCTGCAGGTTACTTCTGAATGAAAGTACAAGTTACAGGTATGGTATCACTGAATGAGTCCAGAACAATGGTTTTCCCATCTAGCTGAGCATACAAATTAGTTTTTTCTTTTGAATTTATTTTCTTTCATGAGAGAAAGAGAGAGAGAGAGAGAGAAAGAACACACACCCAGGACATAGAACAAAGGAGGGAGAGAGAGAGAGAGAGAGACACCCTGGACTGGGTCTCCTACCACGATCTGTTTCCTCTGGCACTCCAACTGGCCAGGATCTTGAGCACTCCTATGCCTTGAGTATTTCAGGTCTATTTAGGACCTGACCATGTGGGGAGCCACGTGGCCGCCAGCCCTGCAGATCAGCACGCTACCTGCACCACCAAGGCTGGGCAAACTGAAGAATATTTTTCCCCTGCACAGGGTGTATGCACTCACTGGAGAGAGATACAGAGGGAAAGTGAGAAATTGCCTCTTCAGGGGGATGGCCACACCACAGTCCCTTCTTCATTCTCCTCCTGGGATTTTAGGCACGCATGCACATGCTCCCACGTAATTTTCAAGCCACTGGGTCTGAGACTAACCGCTGTTGGCCATGTGGAAATCAGCGCCTTAAGCACCATGCCACCTACTGGCCCCCTGGAGAATTTTTTCTATGACATATTCTGGGCATCACCTGATTACAGAACACCTGAGTGGGGCTCCAAGGGGAGCCCATGTGCTGACATAAGTTGGCCCACCGCCTTACCCAGTGGTACTTGAGCAAATGTGAGTGTGGTGGGGAGGGTGGATGAGAGTGGGAGTGGTCTAAAGACAGAAAAGAGGACTTCTTTCTTCTCACCACAGCGGATATGCAGTGGATTGTGGTAGAGAAATGGCTTTATTAAAATCTCCTTGGAGCAACCACAGTTTAGGTATCTTTTTTAAAAAATCTATATTTATTTTTTTCTTAGTTTTTCTTTGTCATTTGGTGTGTGCACTCGCCAGAGAAAGACAGAGAGAAGGAAAGTGAGAAGTCACCCCCTAGGAGAATGGCCATGCTACAATTTCCTCTTCTCCATTCTTCTCTCAGAATTATAGGCACCTATGGACACGCGCCCAGTGTGTTTTTCAGGCCATCAGTTTTGGTACTTGAGCCATGGAGTTAGCTATTTGGGATCCAGTGCCTTAACCACCGTGCCAGCTGCTGACCTCATACATTTTAGCATTTTAAGGGCATTGCATGTCAAATTTGGTCCTTTGAAGTTCTTCTTAAATCATTTTAGAGGTTTCAACCTAGAATCTTCCTAATTCTAAGGATTGCAGAAAGTAATGGGGATTATTAAGCCACATTTAAAAATAATAGCTTTGTTGAAATTATCATTCACCTATTAATACTGTTCAGTCCACCCTCTGAAAGGTGTATAGTTAAATGGCAAAGACTTGCTAAACTGATAGATGTCAGTTGACTCACGATAGGCTGTACCCAGCCTGGACTTTGGAATTTGGGTTTGGAAATTGGGGCTGTTAGATTCCAGGTGATGGAAGGTGAGTTCCTGACTTATTCGTAAGTCATCTTCAGGAAGAGGGGATGCTGGGACAAAGGGGCCCTGGCAGCATTCCAGGGAACGGGTTACTCTCTGTTGACCATGGCTTCCAGGTGTTAGACCCTTTTGCATATTTCAGGAAAGCAGTCATCTATTAATAACTTTAATTACTTCCAGCTACAGTTCTTGTGTCTAGAGTTACTATTTTGTAAGTTTTCCAGGATATCTTTTCCCTCGACACCTATCTCTATCATCCTGGAGTTATACCATGGACCACCCACCTATTACTTCCTGAACTAGGGGCTCCAGAAAGATACTCATTTAGCACATAATGGAGACTTCTGGAATTTCTTACTTTATTTAAACCTGTTTAAATAAAGGGCTGCATGCTTCTCATTTCCATCCTTTTTTTTTTTTTTTTTTAAAAAAAGGAAAATCAAAGACAAACACTCCCAAAACTAACACCACATCTGTGAAACCTCCAGGACCCCAGAGAGAAATGTAACCCAGTTTTGCCTCTGATTTTTAAAAAGGGCTGCATGCTTTTCCTTTCTCACCCTTTTTTTTTTTTTTTTTAAAAAAAGGAAAATCAAAGACAAACACTCCCAAAACTAACACCACATCTGTGAAACCTCCAGGACCCCAGAGAGAAATGTAACCCAGTTTTGCCTCTGACCTTGAGTTCTGTGAATGAAGGGATGCTTTGGGCGCTTGGGTGGTGCCGCCTTTGTGGGTTATCTCGGCCTTGGCTTCTCATCTCTCCTTTTTGTGACTCACTGATTTGGCCCCCTTCTCTGGTTATAAGCCCTTCCAACCGAGGGTGGAAGGAATTAAACTTGAAGGATTCTTTTCATTTTCTAGCAACAGTTGGTGTAGAAACCAAGGGTCAGAGACAGTTTGGTAATATCTGATTGTCATTATTTTTACTTCAACTCATCAAAAGATCGATTTGTTCTGACATGAAGAAGACAGCCCAGCTTTGACAGGTGTGTTCCCTGCTGTGTTTACATCAATGTGCAGAAGATCCGACCAAGGAGATCCCTGGGCCGGCCTCTTGAGATTCCATTTTCAAAGGATAGAAACTAGGACTTTGCATTTAGCCAATTATCCCCAGGTCTTTCTCTGAAGATAAAATAGAGACTGATTTTTGAGAAACACTGCCCTGGAGGAGTTTGTGCTTCGTGTTCGGATACCAGCCCAGCTTAAATGCTTGGCAATTAACAATGTGTAATTACAGTGTGTACCGTTTCCAGGGCAATGTGCGCTGTCACTCCTGCTGAGGCTGTGAAGATTGAAAGGGGCCATGGAGAGGCCACAGGAATGTCGTGGCCTCCAGATTAATGCCAGCGGAGTGCTTGATGATGACTGGATTTTCATGTCGTTCATCCGAGCCCTGCTCAATGGCAGTAGCAATAATGAAAGTAAACACAGAGGAGGCCACCGCGCCTCTGCGTGACTTCTAGAGGCAGCGAAAAGGATATGGGGGGATGCTCGCGTTCCTCCTCTCTGCAGCTCCTCAAATCAGTTTTGTCCAGAATGATAAGGATGCGAGGAGCATGAGATGACCTTGAAAAGCTTTTGAAAAATAATAGTTGGCTGCGGTTTCTTGGTTCTCAGCTGGGATGGTGCTGGGAAAATGGCCCGTTCTCACTTCGCCGGGTGCCACTCGAAGTTACCTTTATCAAGCACTTGCCGTGGGGTGGGTTATCCTGCCTTTTGGACCTGAATATACTTTGATCTTTTTTCTTTCGTCAACGTGGAAACGTTCCACACTTTGGACATTTCCAGGCTTAATGAAAAGCTTCAGGTCTGTACCATATTTTAGCACAGTATTCAGCTCTTTGGTTTTAGTAATAATGCTGTCATGGGCACATGTACAGCTGCATATGGAAGTTTCATAGCTGTGTGTGGAGAAAGGTATACGTTATATAAAGGGACACATCTTTATCTATGTCTGTCTGTCTGTATCTGTATCTATAGGATCATCTGAAAAGTCATGACACATTTTTACATAGAAAAAAAACCCAGAAAAACACTTCATGACTTTTCTAGCAACCCAGTAATAGTTGTCTATGGAAAAGCCACACCGCTACCAGCTTTGGAATTTGGCGTTTGGCTCTGAATTCTAGCATAAATAGCTTTTGCAACTGAAGGCAAGTTTCCTAACTTCTCTGAGGTCCTGTTTTTCCTTCTGGAAAAGGAAGCACTTACTAGATCACAAATCGTAACCTTGTAGAATCCAGTGAAAATGAGGGAACTTCTACCCTGAAAATAGTATTGTCATGCCTAAGTATATGAAGGATTGGTTCCAGGATCCCAAAATTTGAGGGTGCCCAGGTCCCTTATATAATATGGTGTGATATTTGCATAGAAGCCATGCATATCTTCCTGTATACATAAAATCATGTCTAGGCTATTTATCAGTAATCTTAGTATCAGGTATAAATGAAAAGGGAAATAGGTAGATAAATGTCTTCTCTTTCAGCAGTCTACCTCTTCCTGAATTTATAATATTTGGTGTGACCGAATCCAAAGGTGTAGAACCCACAGACATAGTTGACTCTACATACACACTTCACTCAAAAAAAACTACAGTCAGTTTGCAAGGGACCACAGGCCTCCTAAATGAAGGGACTGCTTAGCTATGTCACTGGACTCCCATGTAGTTGACTGCAGTTCAAGTCCCAGACCCAGTGGCTTGACCTCACACTGGGCGCTTGTGCGTGCATGCCCAAGATCCCAAGAGGAAAATGGAGGAGAAGGGATTGCAGCCTGGCCATCCCCCCTGGGGAGTGATTTCTTGCTATTTGTCTCTGTCTTTCTGGCAAGTGCACGTGCCCTATAGCAAAAACCTCTCAAAAAAAAAAAAAAAAAGACTCTTACGCTTCCAACTTACAATTATTGGGCTCCCCAAAGACCTGGAGAATTTTGAATTGTGTGGAGACACTGCCTGAGGAATGAGTTATTTGGTGAGGGAGGTTTTGTTGTTCCTGGCATTTTTCGCTAACTGCTCTGTGTATGTAGGAGGGAGAAACAAACACTGAGAAAAATAAATAGGGAATGAATGGCATCTGGAATATGAACTGTTTTCTTTATCATTTTTCACAATTGTGGTCCTTCCAAGGAGATAGTCTAATTGCAACGTGATGGCTGTGTTGAGTTACTTCAGCACACAGATGCAACATTTCATGACCCTTGAGCAGTAATTTAAACTTGTTCTACTCTTAATATTTGAGAACTCACTTATGTGGATTCTAAAAAAGTTGAATTTATAGAAACAAAGAATAATAGGGCAATAGCTAAGAAGGGCTGGAGAACTGAGGCTATGGGGAAAGATGTTGGCCAAAGGATATGGGGAGGGGTGTCTTTTTTTTTTTTTTTTTTTTTTTAATGTTTTGACGAAAGGGCACATTGCTCACAGAAGAGACAGAGAGAAAGTGAGAAATCACTCCCCTGGGATGCTGGGCACACACACCCGGTGTGATTTTGAAGCTGTCAGGTCTGGGATTTAAACTGTAGTTGACCATGTGGGAATCCAGTATCTTAACCACCATGCAATCTGCTGGCTCCAGGAAGTTGGGGGGGGGGGGGTCTTCTAAAAGTTCATGGAAAGTACGTACTGTGAAAAGGCTATGTATGGATTTAGAGATTTGTGTTTTTGGGGGGTGTTTTTTTGGTGCCAAAAAATTTGTACTTCTATTCCATTTTTCCAAGGACATTTTGAAGTCTCCCCGTACAGCATTTCAGTTTAAGAGGAAAAATAAGTTCAAGAGTTTTGCTGTATAGCAGGGCAACTCTAGCTGATAGCATTTTATACTGATAGTTGCAGATTGTTAAGTGAGTGGGTTTTAAGTGTTTGTACCACAAATAAATAAAAAATATGTGAGGTAACATATATGCAAATTAGCTTGATTTAGCCACTCTACAATATATACCTATTTCAAAGCTTATTTTATTCTCTCTCTCTCTCTTCTATGTATATATATCTATGTATATATATACATATATACATGTATATATGTTTATTTGTGGATTTATATAAGAAGAAAAAGATTAAAGTGCTGGTTACCTTGAAAAACGTCAACAGTATATCCTGAGTAGAAATAGTGTAAGTTCTTCAGCACACCCCAGCTGTTAACTCTGACCGCCTCCTCCACTCTACCCTACCTCCTTCCCGTGACCCAAAGTTGTCATCCAATCAGGAGGGAGTAGCTGTAATGCTCATTTGGAAACCTAGATTACATTCTTTCTTTTTTTGTACTTAGGTGTTGAAAAGTCTCCTCCAGTGCTTTGGAAGGCTGAATGGACTAATCATGAAGAGCTTGAAGGCCAAGTTCCGGAAGAGTGATGTGAGTATGCTGTGGACTCAGGGTCTGGCCGCCCGGCCTTTGCTGCCCAGAGCTGCACAAACAGCCCCACTCCTGGCTTGATATGTCACTGGGTTAATAAACTGCAGGAGCCAGAAGCACTCTGGACTCCTCTCGCTGATCATGGCTTCTGTGGGTGACATGCTGTGGCTCCTTGCTGTTTCTGTGTATGGCTTTCTGAAATGACATTTTAAAAATTCTTGGGGTCTGTGCCTTGTGAAGAAAGGAACAGTCAAATTAAACATGTTAAAAGAAAGAATCCATAGAAACCTCAGCATTTCTAAAGTTGCCAAAATCCTGATTCAGAATGTCATTTTTAAAAGAAGCCAGACTCAATGAGAGTGGTTAAGGCATTACACATTAGCGTGGTTCGTCTTTGGCTTTGGGAAACTTGTTGAACCCTCTGTGAAGGCCTTTGTGGTAAAACAACACTCTCTCTCGCTGCCTTACCTTAACTCCCCCTGAATTCCTAGGGTCCTTACGCATTTGTTATCCATCATAAAGACTTTGGGTTGGAGGAACCAGTTATGTTGTCAGAATTGTGAAACAAAGTCTCCCAGCAGTGAAGAGCAACACAGCAGAGGGGTTATACACAACGATACAGTCACAAAAGGTCACCTCATAAACCCTTGTACTAGATCTCAGTCTTGTACTAGCTGCATTCCAGATGCTTCAAGTAGAATTGTTGAGTATGGTGGTGCAGTGGTAATGAAATGCTCTGCCAGGCTGATCCGCAGGGGAGGTTCTGGGTTCATGTTCACAAACCTTCCTGACACAGCGGGTATGCACAGGCCCATTACACAGGACTAGCTAACGCTGGCCGCGCATCACAGTGTGAAGACCCTATTAAAGTTGCCTCTCTCTCTCTCTCTCTCTCTGGCTCCTGAAAGAAAGAAACTTTTAAAAAATTGTTGAATGGGAGAGATTCATGGCTGGTTATGAGATGGAAGCTTAGCTATGTCACCCTCAAATGGCTTGCTCAGCTATTACTTAGCATTAGGTAATTAAGGATGAGCTTGGATTTTATGGCTTTGCCATGAATTATATTTTGACAACTTGGCACAGCTGCATTTTTACAATAAATAGAGTCTGTGTCTTTTATGGCTAGCATGTCACACGCACACCTACTTTTGGCACAAGCTTATCTTCTGGGGCTGCGTCATGACATGTAACTTACTGCCCTGATAAGGCCCAGGCCAGATGAGATGCTTATAGGACGATTACAGAATGTTGTCTCACAGAAAAGGTTCTTAGGAAAAAGCAAAGCGAGTTGGACAAATTCCTACCAGTGGCCATTGGCCAGAGTGAAAATTGCAGCTGTCTGACATCCTTCGCCCTTCTTCCTGCCACTCCCTCGAGAAGCCTCCGCCAGCCTTCCTCATCTGCCCGCCATATGATCGTACAGTCTACCTATCTCCTTTGGCTTCCAGTTAAAGGAGAGAAAGGCAATTAAATGGAAAATGTTGCCAAGGTCAGAGGATATGAGTTTGTAAATTGTGTGACCAGGTTAACAAATGTCATTGTGGCTTCCAAGGAGTATTCTGGGTAGCTTCCATTAATACAAGTCAAGATTAGCTTAGCAAACTTTCATTAGTCTAGAATTCTGTGATATATGAACAAGGGTGGGGTGGGGGGAATATAAGACATAGAGACTTTTGGTTTAAAAATTAAGAACTGGTGGCAGTAGGCAGGGTATTACTGGAATCTAGTTTTTAAATACCTAAAATATTTCCATGATTAAAAAAAAATTACTGTAATAACACTAGTAAAAGCTTCTGGGATTTGGCAGTAGGGAAGGCTGTGATTTCGGCAGTTAGAGAAGAAATGTCAGAGGACCAGACCTAGGGGAAGGGAGTAAAGGAAATTGGTGAAATGCAGCCAGACAATTTCAGATGGCTCCCCAAATTCATCCCGAATGGTTTCCCAAGCCACTTCACTGTACAGCTAAATGGAAGAAATAAAAACACAAAGGAAAACCACCTCAGACCCGAGTTTGTTAATAAGCCGTTTGATGATAACAGCTAATCCTTATAGAGTATTTGTTGTGGGTCAGGTGCTATGCCAAGCTCTTTGTACTGAATACATTTAATCTTGCTGCAAACCTTCTGTGCTAGGTAGTATTGTTAAGCTCATTTTACAGAAGAAGACGCTGAGGCCAGGGTGTTGCAGTCATTTGGGTTTTCAGAGTGTTAAGTTGTAGAAATAGTTTCTGCACCAAGACAGTCTGATTCAAGAGGTCTATATTTCCTGTAAGAGGACTTTTGGGTGAAAAAGTACTTTATAAAACTGGACACTTGGGACCAGCAGGTTGTGTAGTAGTTAAGGTGCTGGACTTCCACATGGCTGACTGCAGTTTGACTCCTAGACCCAGCGGCTTGATATGCCAGGTGTATGTGCATGCATGCCTAAAATTTCAAGAGGAGGATAGGGGAGAAGGAATTGTGGTCATCCCCCCTGGGGGTGATTTCTTACTTTCTTTCTCTCTCTCTCTCTCTCTCTCTCTCCCTGTTTCTTTGGAGCACATGTGCCCTGTAGCAAAAATATCTCTTAAAACAAAACAAAACAAAACTGAGCAATCTAGGGAGCACCTTGGAAAAATGGCATTGGACTGACTTCAGTCTGTGGCCTTGAACAAATATCTTACTCTTCTGAACCTAAGGTTCCCCATCTGAAAAGTGAGGACATAATATTAGCCTCAAAAGCTTGTTGTGACAGTTTAATATGTCTTGGATGTCAGACACACATTTCAGAGGCTGGCATTCAGGAGATGCTTAGCACTTACTTATTCCTTTCTCCAAAGCAGAAATCCAAAATAAAAAATAGAATTTATAAAGTTTCTATGATCCAGAAAGCAGAATAATGTGGTAACATTGTTCCCTGTGAGGAGGGAAGCTGGGAGTGTGTATGGAAGGAGGCTTGCTGTTCAATGTATTCCTTGTGGCTCAGATATTTTGGGTACAGGTACATGCATAGATATGTATTACTTGTCATGAGAAAAACAAGTTTACAAATGTTTACATTCAGTTAAATGAGCCAAGCCATCATCTTCTTTACCTAAAACAAATGCTCTCTCAAAGAAATACCCTAAACCACCAGCCATCCAATTTTCTTGCTTGCCTTTGTGTGAGGGAGAATTGGGAAGAAAGAGTGCATTGTATTTCTGAGGGTAGGGAGAAGAAGATAGCGGATCAGGTTTGTGCTTTCATAAAGAGAGGACAGGTGACCCGCTGGTGATCACGTTTCAGTAACCTGTGTCAGGGAAGGCTGCAGTTAGATTAGTTTGTGGACAGAGTAAAACCTAGGAGGGAAAAAAAAAAAAAAAGACAAGCGTGGCCCAAAGGAGCCCTCTGTAAATGGCCTTCAGGTCCATCAAGCAGGTAGAGATTTAATCAGATTATCTCCTCTGGTACGCTTACGTGCAGACCAGTCCCATGGCAAGTTCAGGTTATTGCAAATAGAGTAGAAGAACAAGCCTGATTATCTGGTTCATGGAAAATGCATATTATACGAAAGCTATGCAGGATTTCTTTCTTTTTTTTTTTTTTTTTTGCATGAAAATAAACTTGTGCTGGGTCAGTAGGTGGCATGGTGGTTAAGGCAGCTAGATCCCACATGGACAACTGTGCATGTCTCAGTGGTTTGAAAAACACATTGGGCATGTGTGCATGCAAGCCCACACTCCTGAGAGGAGAATGGAGCAGACAGGATTGTGGTGTGGCCATCCCTGGAAGCGGGGGTACTTTCTCACTTTTCCTTGACCTCTCTCTCCCACGAGCACACATACCCTGTAACCATTTAAATAAATAAACTTATGTTTTCATTCCATTTTTCTACGAAGTACAAACTTTTTAAAGTCCCCTCACAAATTTAAGACCCTGCCAATAACTCAACAGAGGATGAGAATTATGAAACTTCTGTGGTAGAGGAATTTTTTTCTTTCTTTTTTTTTTTTTTTTTTTGGAGAGGTTTTTGCTATAGGGCGTGTGCACTACCCAGAAAGACAGAATCACAGAAAGCGAGAAATCACCCCCCAGGGGGAATGGCCACACCACAATCCCTTCCCCTCCATTCTCCTCTCGGGATCCTGGGCATGCACACACATGCGCCCAGTGTGAGTTTAAGTCACTGGGTCCAGGACTGGAACTGCAGTCGACTACATAGGAGTCCAGTGACAGAGCCATTATGCCATCTGCTGGTCCCTGTGGTGGAGGACATTTTTCAGTTCAGTGTAGAAGTCCTTAAATTCTAATTAGATGCAAGAAGAGAGGCAGGAGACATGTATAATATGAATCTTGTTATTAAGAAACTTATAAACATAGATGGGGAGAAAGTGTACATTCAAGAACTAAGACAGAACACATACAGATGTAGATATTAAAGGGCTCTTCTATTGTAGATGATATAGCTAGTTGTTAAATTGTTGGGCCAGGTGGGTAAATACTGTACGTCCTCAGAGGATGAATCACTGGAAATTGGAGAATCTGGGAAACTTTGTGAAGGTTGAGCTTCATCTGGCCTTGAGGACTCAGAAGGATGGTTAGGAGAGGGGCAAAGGAATTGCCCTTGACATGCAAATCGGTAATCCTTTAGGAGCCAGGAACTTGCCATGGCAGTAAGAAGACTGTAAAATTTTTGTTCTAGTTTTTGAAAGTGAATAGACAGACTTTATGGTTATGAAACAGGCAAAGAGTTCTAAATCATCATTATTTATATCTTTTATGATTGTAGCTTGAAAGTGACTTCTTTACCTCTTTAAATATTTGCAGCAACTAGTATGTAGTTCCACATGGAAAAATGAGCTGTCATCATGAGAAATGAGGCCAAAAAGGTTGGGATTTCCCTTTGCTAATAAAATGGCAGGCTTCTGGAATTTCTTTGTAAATGCCAAATTCTTAGTGACTTGAGTGAAATGGGTGGAGGTTGAGGGATGGGAAATGGGGTTGAAAGATCTTTGTAACAAATCTTGAGAAATGCCACTCAGG